CCCAAGAGTTGGCGGTGGGTGGTGTTGAATAACTGCCTTCACTCTATCACTGCTAAATTAGAGATTACGAGCGCAGATATCCCTCATGTAATTTTGCGCGAAATTCAAACCAAACCAAACTAATGAACGTGGTTAGGCGAATTTCCAAAATTCTACAAGTTATGTCCAACTAATTCGAAATCTTTGTCGATTTGAAAAACAAAATCTTTAATACGTTACCATCTGTGATAACTGTTGATTATGATTGTCCCCACTGCTGTTCTATTTTAATAGACTTACAATCGCTTTAACCTTCGAAGCTTGGGATTATGCAATTTTAATAGGTTACCCTCGAGTGATTCATAATTGGTTACCAAGAAAGATTGAAATATTGGTTGTCACTGTACCATCCTGTTCATTTATCATTGTTCTAACACGAAATAAGTATTCAAACTGGTGCCATGCTAGAATGAATGCTCAGCAGCCAGTTTGATAGTTTTTAACAGTAGACCCCATTGTATAGCTTTGCGTTCAAACAATTAAACAAATTAAGATATTTTATAACCTCTTCGTTACTATGGGCATACATGTATATATTACCCACTAGAGCAGTGCTTCTTAACCTTTTTTGCTCCATGCCCCACATCGACACCTCCAAAAATTTGATGCTCCTTTAATATAAAAACAAATTTGGTGTTGAAAAGGTATAATAATATAATGTAAAATTTAGTTTTGAGTCACGGAACGTTTTTCGCTCTTCACACCCAAATGAAAAATGTTTCTTATTGTAGCATTTTCAAATTGCTCCCCCCCCCCCAATATACTCAAATCGCCCCCCTGTGGGGCGTGTGCTCCACGTTCAGAATCACTGCTCTAGACTTTGATTTAGTCTTGAAACGTTTGATATTAATGACATGCAAATTTTGAAGTTCTTAGTGCCTTGAGAAAAGTGTTGTCTCTTTCAGACATTCCAAAATTTAGTAGTTTCAAGTTTCACATAAGTAACGAAATATTAAAACGTGTCTTTGCGTGTGTCTCTAAAAATAAACCTGGCACTAGAAGAGTTTATTTCATCTATAAACTTGAAGTGAGATAGTTAATTTCTCGATGTTTTTTCCCTTCAAAACAAATGTCAAGACAGAATGGATACAGCGACTATTTATCTCCCAGATAGTTTTGAAAACACGTGGATCTTTCACTTACCTTGATCATCAATAGAAAACATGCCCATCCCATCATCACCCCTGATGAAGTAGGTTATTTTGCTATTCGGGCCTTCTGGATCCTCGTCTTGAGCTTTAACCTGCATCACAAAGGTCCCCGCTGGTTGATTCTCACGAACTTTGCCCTCCTCCGCGAAATTCGAGAAGGTGGGTGCATGCTCATTTTCATTCACGTCTTCCACCTCCACAAGTAGAGAAGCACTTGACGATAGTGGGGGATTTCCCAAGTCACGTGCGACAATGGTCAAATTATAAATTGGTCGACTTTCGAAATCCAAAGGACCTGCTAATCTAACCACGCCCACTTCTGGGTCAATCTGGAAAGTACTGGTGTCATTGCCCTCTAGTTCATAATGAATTTTTCCACCATTTGACAGATCAGGATCGTGTGCGGAAAGAATCATCACCACAGATCCAACAGGTTGATCTTCCCTAACCCTCGCCGAAAACTGGTGAGAGCTAAACTCGGGAGGATTATCATTCACATCTAACACCCAAATATTGACAACAGTGCTAGACGAAAAGGGTTGGTCGATTCCCGAGTCTGACACGCGAACCCTGAGACAATAATGATCAATCTTTTCCCTATCAAGTGTCCCATTTACTGTCAGAAGACCACTTTCATGGTTAATGTGAAAGTCCCGAGTGTCTGAGTCAAGCGAAAAATAAAGTTTGGCGTTTGAACCTTTGTCCATGTCCGAGGCTCGAAGCCGGACAATGCTGGTTCCTTTATTAGAATTCTCCTTGATATGAAAATCATACGTGGCCTTCTCAAACATGGGAACATTGTCGTTTATGTCTTGGACATAGATAACCAATGTCCTAGAAGCTGATTTTGAAGGCTGACCGAGGTCAAAAACCGAAATGTTCAAAACGTACTTAGACCGTCTTTCCCTATCAATCTCTCCCATCACCACAAGCTTTCCGGTATGCATGTCCATTTTAAAACTGCTGTCTTCATTTCCGTTTGAAATAACATACACTAGCTTTCCGTTATATCCGTGATCCTTGTCTTCCGCTTTCAGAGTCAGTACGCTGGTTCCAATCGGGAGATTTTCGTCCACTTCTATCTCTGCGGGTAATCCTTTTAGAAACTGTGGAGTATGGAAATTGTACACGTACCTTGCAGGCGTTGGTTCCGTAACTTCTCGGTCTATTCCCTTTTCGTTGTTCTTTTTCCCCAGCTCCATCTGCTCTTTCATCCTCTCGACAACTCCCACATCTCGACATTCTACTAAAGCATCTTTATTAGCAAACCTCCGACCTTGAATGTTTCCCATCGAGCGGCTGTGAGCCTCACTCATCACTTTTATGTGAAGAGACATGACGTCGGCGAAATGCTGTCCATCCGTTGCCGAAACGTTAACATATTTGTCTTTGAACTTCTGCTGAGTCAGGTCACAAGTTAAAGACAGAACCCCAGTCACGGTATCCAACTGAAAACAGGAGTCGTCATCGGGATGCACCATGCGGTAACTAACAATACTACCGGCATCGAAGTCCAGAGCCGACAGTGTGAGAATCTCCGTTCCTTCCGCCGCCAGTCCAGATACGTAACCCTCACAGTCCACCTTCTCAAACTGAGGTCTGTGGTCATTTACATCATTTAGGAGAACTCGCACCGAAATTTCGGACTCTCGTGCGAACGGCGAACCCCAATCGGACGCGCGTACTTTTAACAAATACTCTCTTTTCATAGTTTCATAATCCAAAACATCTGTCGTTTTGATCTTTCCGGAGAAATGGTCGATGTTAAACGGTACGGAGTTAATATTGGCGAGACTGTAGGAAACGTATCCATTTTCTCCCTCGTCAGAGTCTACGGCATGAACCGTGTAAACCACACTTCCAATAGGCCTATTTTCATCAAAATGAATGGTAACAACTGAAGAGGAATTAAACACGGGATCGTTGTCATTGTTATCCAAAACAGTTATGTTCACAACTGTGGTTTCCTTTTTACGGTTTCTTTTGGAACCTTGCTCGGTAGCGCTAACGGAAAGTAAGTATTTAGACTTCGTCTCTCGATCCAGAGATCTGACGGTAGCGATTAGGCCCGTTGTGGGATTGATACTGAAGACCTCCTCTTCGTTGCCCCTGTCTATGCTATACTTCATTTGTGCTGTTTCTACTCCACTTCGAGCTTTGACCACCAAAATTGGTGTATTTATAGGTGCCACCTCTTCCACCTCGACATGGTATTTCAGTTTCTCAAACACGGGTGGACGATCACTGGTATCGGTTACCTGAATTGTGACTGTCTTAACAGACGATTTAGGGGGAGTACCCCTGTCGGTAGCCTTAAGAGTCAGATTGAAAACGGTAGGATCCCTCTTTCGATCCAAAAACCTAGTGCGCTGAATATTAAAATCGTTTGGTGTTTCTCCACTGGTCACTCCAAAATAACCATATGGATCCCCATCAGCGATCTCTAAACTTTGGATCTCCCCATGATCCCCACTGTCATCGTCAGTAACGTGAACAATGGCGTAAATATCAGGGATGTTACTTTCCGTTACCGTGGAGAAATGCCTCACGAAAATGTTCGGAGCATGATAGTTTGCCGGTGACACGGAAACCTTTAAAGAAGCTGTGCTCACTCCTATTATCCGTCCAGCTCGTGGTTTGGGTCCCCTGTCCTGGGACACGATGGTTAACTCGTATTCTTGTTGCTTCTTGTAGTCTAAAGGACGGGTCAGAGACACAGTTCCCATTGTTGGATGTATTGCAAACTGAAACGTGGGGCTCTTGAAGCTGAAATAAACCTCTCCGTTAACTCCTACGTCTGAATCGTAAACTTCAATTTTGGCGATACTCTGGTAAAGTGGGGTGTTCTCGGGGACCGTGACGTGATATACGTCACTGTCGGGGGGGAATAACGGATTTAGGTCGTTTCTATCCAGTATTTCAATATTAACTTCGGTTACGGCTTTCTGTTTAAAATTTTTTGCCTTTGACTTTATTTTAATCACCCCTTTCACCTTCAAAACGTAATGGTCAATATTTTCTCTATTGAGTACGTCACTTCCGGTTCTGGTTCGAATACGAAGAAACCAAAAGTTTCCAATACGCACTTCCTCTGCTTTAAAAAAGTTCTTCTCGTTGCCTTCTATTATTTTATAATTAACACTCAGTTGAGAATCCGTAATAAATATTCCCATTTTAACAGAAGGTGTAACGTAAACTTTGCCGACTACATTCTCGGGAATTGTTGCATTATATACTGACTGTGTGAACTTGTATTCATCAAAGCTTCTGACCACGCAGGAGCCAGTCAACACAAGAATCAGTATCCAGGAGTAGAGATGGGCAAAGGTCGTCTTCATTAACGTCATGACGGTAGAACTGTGCTATTCTAGAGGAATGAAACTGACCCGACTACGACCTTGCTGCTTCCACGGTTCCCATAGTAACCTGAAACGAAAAATCGGGTTCCTTGATTAATACTACCCACAATTACAAATAACTTGTAAGCACAAGACAGCTAAACAGTGGAACTACAATAATGAAAGTCCAAAAACTCTGCTGTTCAATATTCGTTTGGTTCAAAATTACCTACAAGTATTGTTTGTTTGTTTTTGAATTTCGCGCAAAGCT